AAAGGTATTTGATACAGCCCTTTTAAAATAATTCCACTTCAAACCTGGTTGACTTTTTCTAATCTTATGAAAAAACAATGATTTACTTACCCATGAATATCATGACTTAACAACAAGTGGGATAAAAAAATCTCAATAGTTGCTAGAAGTGGACATGGAGTGAAGTGGCAAAAGTTATTTTCTTTCTGCTTAGGGCTATGTTTTAAAGTCACATTTTCACACTCTTATGTTATGCAAATTATATTAACAGTAAAAATTCTCCCAAATTAGAAGCTACCAATTCCAGTCAATGTCTTCATAAGTTTACACAGTGAGGTACTTTCTCTCTTCACAGGCACACTTAGACACAGACATACATATATCAATTATAGAAAAAAATGCTAAAAAGTCAAAATTAACAGGCTATAGTAGAGTTCGAAAATATATAGGTTAAACATCTTTGCAATAAATATCTGAACCTTTTAGGAAATTAAAGAAATTACATAATAGAATAAAACAGAATAACTGTTCGATAGAATAAAATTTTACATTCTTCATGGTCCAATAGAAAGTATCAAATTTGATGTTTATTTTTGAATAGAGGTGCTTTAGTTTTTTTAAATATGTGAGAAAAAATCTTAAAAAATCATTATTGATTTTCCTGAAAATCATTGTAAATTATCTAATGAAATGTAGTTAAAGCTGCACTTGTTATCTTAGAAATAGAGTAGAAATTTCAGTTACTTAAAAATGATTTCTATCCACACCTATTATAACAATGTTCTTTCTTATTTAAGTACTTAGGTGAAATTTTCAAGGCCATTCTATAGAAATGTTTTGAAGAGCTTTGAAATTAAAATAGGTATCTCTGCACTCCTCTAAACATACAAACACATATATACACTTCTAACTTCTTTGCTTACCCTCAATGCTTCTAGTGAATAGATAAGATGATTAATCAATGATAACTGAATAAATATATGATATTTAAATAGAGTGATCCCTTAGGCAAATGATTTTGTTTTTTTCCTCCTCTTTATGCAATAGCCATTCCCAGAGTGAATATTATGTAGCTGTCACAATATAAAAAATGCAAAGATTTACATGGGTTATTGCCCAAAAGAAGCTCACCATTTACTTATACTTTTATTTGTGGTGAAAAAAACATAAAATGACCATTCCTTCCAAAGACCTGTTAATTCAACACTTGCTTAAATAAAAGAGCCCCCCACACCTACTTTACAATAACAATTTATAACAAAAATTACGCATTTCAACAATATAGAAGACATTTGTGGGTGCATAATTGTAATATTATTTGAGCAAGTCTCCTACAATCTAGGAAGAAATCATGGAAAGATGTTTTGTTGTGGTCAGCCATTAAACTCATTGCATCTGTGGTAACCTGGGCTACTCAATTACATAGCAGGTAAATGTAGAGATTGAATTGATGAGAAGGAGCTCTTTTTGTAGCTAAATAATTCAAATTAGATGTGTTTGACCAAAAATCTGCTTTATTTTATTTGAAAAACACCAGATGGTAAAAATTTGGGAAATGTAACTCATAACGAAGTGGTTCTCAACTTGGAGTGATCCCCTTCCCAATTCAGAAGACACTAAGCAACGTCTGGAGAAATTCTGGGTATCACAACTATTGGCATTTACTAGATAGAGGCCAGGGATGCTGATAAACATTTTCCAATACACACAGAAGTCCCAATGCTCCACACAAAAAAATAATTACCTGCACCAAAATGTCTAAAGGGCCTAGACTGAGAAACATTTCTGTAGTGGAAGATTCCCTGTCCCCAAACAAATTTCATCAGCTTTCTATTTTTCACACTGACCTACAATTCATCAGCATGGGTCAGTTTTAGTTGGCAAGATACTCCAAGCTTAAGGCAGCTTAATTCAAATAGAGAATCAATTATGGACCAAGTTAGAGAGCTATTATTCATAGGTACAGTTTCTAAGGGCTTTCTGACTGTCTCCTTCAGAAAATACAAAGTGATCTCATTAGCTCCTTCCATTAGGTCCTGGGACCTGTCTTGGCTAAAACTTCTCATGCCCACACGGTAATGGGTAACAGCAGGAAAGATAAAGCTAGCTTTACTCATTCACTACCAATAAACAAATATTTTTTTCATTCTAACAATCACAATTACACTGTTGAATAAAAATCGAGTTTATTAAACTAAGCAAGCTTAAGAAGCTTCCTTATAACATTACTCTTTCCAACATCCTTAGAGATTCAAAATACAGGTCACAGGGCATGAAAGGCAGGGGTGGAATCAATCTAGATAATGGAATAATCTGCTATCACAACCAGGCTCCACCTTTCTCCTTCCAAACTAACTCCCTACTGATTATTACATTTCCTGAAATACTAGAAGTTAAGCTTTTAAAATGAAGAAAAGAAAGGTACATCATTATAAAAAAGTAATAATTAACTTCAATGTCATTTCCTTAAAATTCTATCCAAAGGAGTAACCCATTACACCCACTCCAATATTCGCCTCTAAAACTTTCTAAACAATGCTATTACTAATTCTTCTACTTTAAAAAATTCCACTAAGAAACTATTTGCTATATAAGATGTTTTTTTTTTTTTTTTTCTTTTTTTCCTCATTTTGTTGTTTGGTTTTGTTCTGATTTTCCCTCAAAACGAGCCAAGACACCCAGAATTTAAGTCTCTGTTTGGAAGAATTTTAGGACCTCAAAAGAAAATATTAGAAACGACGTAAAAGCCTGTCAGATTTTTTTTGCCCTTAGAAACGTTTAGGGAATAGGAAATCATAAGTGCTTTTACATTCATCTTCTCTATTCAGAAGCCTGGCAGTAGTACAAAGGTCAAGAGAGGCTACCCGACCTGAGATTTTTGGACTTGCTGTAAATAATAATGACCTATCTGTAAATAATTTCCCCAATAATCCAGACTGCTTTCTTTAGATGGGTTCTCTAAGAGCTAAGTGTGATCTGTGAATGATAGTTGAGATGAAAACTAGAAATAAGGAAAAGAAACTCTTTGTCTTTAAAAGAAGTGGCTCCAGTTTCCGTTTACAAGCCTGAAGGGTTGTTGTACATATTAAAACTGCTGCATAGCTCCATCCCTGGTCAAAGAAATCCCTCCTCCTACCACCCCTACCCCACCCCCGTGGACACTGAAGATGTCAGATCTCTGGGAAACAGCAGTTAGAAAAGGATGCTTTTCATAGCTTGTACTAGAAAACGCTGGCACCCCCATCCCTGCTTAAAATAGCACTAAACTGAATCACAATGCAGGAACCTATGCCTCCTGTATCTCTTCAATAGAATCTAGCTCGTTTCCAGTGAAATGATAAATAATACTGCATAGTTTTGCCCAAGTATATGACATATCAATTCTTCTAATCCCCCCGTTTGCCCAACATAATTTTATGCTTTATCCATCAGCGTGCCACGCAAGATAGAAAAGTGCAGTGAACACGATGACAGTGTTAGCTAGGTATCTGGCATCGATATTACTGAGAGTCTGTCATTTGACAATTATTTCCCTAGCATACCAGGCGGTAAAGAAAATGTTTTCATTCATCCGCAAATGACTAACATTTTATTGATGTTTCAAAATGCGGTTGAAACTCTTGCCCTCTCATTTTCCGAGTCGGTTTTGAGTTAAGGCTGAATACTAACATCAGTAACTCCTGCCGCAAATGTCTCCGTTAACTGCCCAGCCTTGGAGTGTCAGTTCAGCAGGGAGGTGTTGCTAGTTAAGATTCTTCGATAAGCCAGTCTGGGTGGTCACAGGTGATGGGAACCCTTCCCTTTCCCCATATATCCCCGTGCATGGCGATAAAAATCACTCTGAAGGCTGCTACCACCAAGCAAAACGACTCCCTGCCTGCCTCGTAAAGAGCTCAGTCAGGGGAGGCAGCCGGATGCTGACCCCTGCAGAGAGTATTGCTTCGGTGCGCTTTGCCAAAGGACCCTGCAAGCATTATGGAAAACGAGTTAGGGATGTGTGTTTTGCTTTATTTCCTCCAAAGGAGGAAGAACTGGGATCTGGCAAAGATAATCTTCTTCAAAGATTGCTAACGGGGGATGGGGTAAAGGAATGGAAAAAGTGGTGGTGGGGGTGAGAGCATATTTTTTAATTACTTATCTCCCACTTGCACTTCTCCGCTCTGCTTCCGAAACACCTCACTGAACCAGATTGATTGGTGTAACTGCTAACGACACAGCCTCGGTTCTCGCATTGATTTGCAAATGGCCCGGAAAAGCTTAGGAATCTTGAATCTGGAAATCAACTCAAGAAGGAAAGCAGAAAAAAGAGTAGCGGTCGGCCCCATGCCTAGTATCTCCTGCCTTGGGCCAGGGCAGGGCTGGAAACAGCCCAGCGAGCAGCGGAGAGGCTGCGGCGTGGGGAAGTGGGGGTTACCGCTCCGCACCGCCGAGGAGCAAGGCTGTTCAACCCGGTTTGGAGGTTGTTAAGAAATACAACCCTGCGACTCCTTAAACCCCTTAACTCTGCCCTGCCTCGTCTCGGATGCGCCGATCATTCGTCCACATAGCCTTAAATGGGTTAAACTGCCTCTTACATAACTCGACTGCCTGGCTCTACACAATTAAAACACTTGATTGCAGTCTTTTCCCAACTCTGCCTCCCAGCAAGACCCGCCCCGTCCCTCCCAGCGCGCATGCGCGCCGCGCGTGCACAGGCCCCTGCTGGCCCGCGCGCGTACTACACACTCTCCGTCACATACACACTCCATGTTGACCATAAACACTCCCCCTCACACACACAACTTAGTGTCAACACGCACAGATAAAAGAGGGGCGTCCTGCATCCCACACTGGCGGACCCCACAGACGACACACAAACTGCTCTATCGCAAGGCCTTGCACCCCCTCGTGTCCACGCAAAAAGCAGCCACCGTCCCTACCTATTCCCGAGAAAAGAGAGAGAACTAGTTGGCTGCTCATTAACTGCAGCACAACCACCCAGGCGAGATTAGAAGAAAATAAAAACCAAAAAAACAACTCACAGTCGCCGGCGTCACGATGGCGCCGACCACAACTTGGAGGACTTCAAACTTACGGTGCCTCGTGAGGTAAAACGCACAGGTGAGGGAAGGCAAAGCGCCCCTCAGCTCTCCTCACCCCTGCCCCGACACGGAGACTTTTCTAGCAAAGCATCCCTCTAGCGCTTACGACAGTAAGGAAAGCCTTCATTCTACGGTTACTCTCTCTTCCCCTCAGTTTGCATAATTGTCATACAGTTCCTTCTGATTTATTTTTTGTCTTTCTTTTCTTTTTTTCTTGCTTTATTTTTTTCTTTTCTTTTTTTTTTTTTAAATTCACTTTATTTATTTTATTGTATTTTAGGTTTTGGGGTACATTTGAAGAACATGCAAAATTGCAGCCTTGAATTCTTGGGCCCAAGCAATCCTCTTAGACATTCCTCAGTTATGGTTCACTTTTTTTTTTTTTTTTTTTTTTAAATTCCCCCCCCCCTTCTCCATCCCCAGTCCCCGGGCGAGGTTGCTAAGGAAACGGCCGCTTGGCAACGCGCGCGAGCCCGGGGGCCGGCGGCCGGCGCTGCACCCCGCGCTGCTTCTGCTGCTGCTGTAGCTGCTGCTGCGATTGCAGCCGCCGCCGCCGCCGCTCGCCCTGCCTCCTCCTCCGCCGCCGCGCCTCCTCCCTCACTCGCCGGCGCGCTCGCCTCCTCGCTAGATGGTGTGCGAGCCGCCCAAGAATTAGACACACTCCGGACGCGGCCAAAAGCAACCGAGAGGAGGTGTAGTGTGGTGCCAGGGGGAGGGAGGGGAGGGAGGGAGGGAAAGCGAAGAGGAGGAGGAGGGGAGACAAAAACACCGAAAAACAAAAAGAGAGAAACAACACCCAACAACTAGGAGGGGGGGAAGAAAGAAAGAAAAGAAACCCACCCACCCACCAGAAAAAAAAAAAAAAAAATCCTGTGGCGCGCCGCCTGGTTCCCGGGAAGACTCGCCAGCACCAGGGGGTGGGGGAGTGCGAGCTGAAAGCTGCTGGAGAGTGAGCAGCCCTAGCAGGGATGGACATGATGCTGTTGGTGCAGGGTGCTTGTTGCTCGAACCAGTGGCTGGCGGCGGTGCTCCTCAGCCTGTGCTGCCTGCTACCCTCCTGCCTCCCGGCTGGACAGAGTGTGGACTTCCCCTGGGCCGCCGTGGACAACATGATGGTCAGAAAAGGGGACACGGCAGTGCTTAGGTAGGAAGAACGACGTGCTTTTCGTACTTATCTCGGTCTATCTTTCTGTCTCTCTTTTCACCCTCTTTACCTTCTTTATAACACGAGCAATCATGCTGGTGGTGCTTATCGTGGAAAGACCACATCTCAGTCATTCCAGGTGCAGATCCTTCCCGGAGCCCTGGCCCGTTTTTGCTGGGGCAGGTAGCAAGCTGGACTCGTGATGCTAAAGCACTTTGCTGGAACACCAAGTAGCCCGGGGATGAGTGAAGTGTCAGGTTTAGAAGGAGGGGCAGGTGCCACTTTGAAACTCAATGTACAAGGTCTCTGTTTTACTGTCATGGGGTACTCTCGGAGAGTCTGGCAAGTTTATCAGGTTTGTTTCTGTTTTACTCCAGCCTAAGCGACTCTTTCAAACTGCTAGCTCTCTGTTCCCATTTATTTTCCCTCTCACTTGGACACTTAGGCTCGATTTCTTGCTGTTTAGCTTTCTTTCCTTTAACCGCTTTCTCCTTTCTTTCTTTTCTCCTTCCTCCTTCTTTTATACCATTTTCCCCACCTCCTTGTTACTCCTTTTCCCTCCGATACCTCTTTTCATATATTTTCCATTTCCTCTGTTTTTCCCTCCTTTTTAAAAATTTCCTCGCATATTTTCTCCTCATTTGTATCTCCACGGCTCTAATTTCTGTTTCTCACAATTAATACCCTTTCCTCCTCTCCTTTGCTCTTTTCCTTTTTGTCCATTTTTTTCATTCCTCCTAATGTTCCTATTCTGTGCCTTGTCTTCCCTCTTTTGACTCCCACTTCTCATCCCTCTCCCCATACCCTTTCCCACCCCTGTGGCACACACAGGAATGGTCACTCTTCCCCCTCCAGTACCATATACTCACCCTCATAAATCTCATTTCCATAAACATACTCCCTCACATACTCTCACATCCTCGCAGGCACTGGCACTTCCATGCTCTAAGAACCATCCACATTCAGACCCTCTCTCACTGTGTGAAAGGCATACTCTCCTTCTCTGTTCCACATTGTCACTTACACATGTGTACACACTGCCTCTCTCACTGGCTCTCACTCTGTCCTCTCTTTTTCTCTTTCTGTGTCTTCCTATCCCCTTTCTTCCCACCTTCCTCCCTCCTTCAGTCTTCAGTTTTTCTTCTTTTTCTCACTTTCCCTGTTTCCTTTCTTTCCCCTAAGCTTGAGCTCTGAGGTGGTTTGTCATTAATGAACATCCACACTCTGATTTTACCCCTAAGCAACACTGCAGAGTGGGAGTCCGGAAATATTTTACCTATGAAAATACAAATTGATGATCAGCAAAGCTTAGATCTAAACAAAGCTAAACGCCCTCATTCCTTCATTTCGTTCTCATCACCCTCCCTCTCCCCCTGCCACCCCACCTCACATTTCCCTGAAAGATCTTCTTTCTCTCCACTGGGTGGTAGTTGGTTTATAAGTGTGGATTGCACATCAGTGCACATGACATGTCTAAGTGAAAGAGTGGGAAATGTTTCTGTTTGAATCATGCAACATGTTTAAATTTAATGATGTGGGTGTGGTATATGACTTACAGCTTTTGGAACATGCCTATGAGTTCAAATTTGGAATACTGTCATAATTTTTATATTCACCAATACATATGTTTTTAATAATATGTGTTGTGAATACAAAATTTCAGTAAGTATATACAAAAGTAACTAATATCTTTGTTGTTACATATTTATAAAAACTTTTCATTGTTGGTAACAGTGATAAACTCTTTGTCACAGAGAGAATATAAATTAAGCCTGTATTTACTCTTTATGTTAAGTTTGTTTTAGCAGTTGGAACAACAGTGGTAAGGACAAAACACTATCTTCAGAGGTTGCAAACACCTATCATGGGAGCTGCAATATGTATGTTTGTAGCAAGCAACACATTGCTTATTTGTAGTGAGCATTACCATTTCCACCCTAAAGGATTCAAGAGACTGCTTTTCTTTCAACGATATATACTAGTATTTGGTTTCCCATACAAACAACAATTTAATAAATATTATGGTTAATTAAAATAGCTGGACCCACATTCTGCTTCCAGGACACCTATGTTTAGTTCACTCATTGCTTCCAACGGTGAAGCTTCCCTAGTATGTGGGGACCATATATTTCCAGTGTTGTTGGTTTGGTGCAGCCCTTGTTTATTTTGTGTGCTCTGTACCTCATCCATTTAGATCCTGTGTCCCACATTTTGTGATATTTAGGGAGCTTTTGACTTTTAAAGTTATTAAAAAGAACAGAGTCTCTGTGTCTTTTCACTAATGTTTCTAACAAATTAGGTTTTAGTTTTTAATAAACATTTTTTTTGTCATATGAAATAGAAATTTGATCTGCATTACATATTACTCAAAACAATTTGCTTATCGTAATTCTGAAATTCTCTAAGAAGTATCCAGCTGTTGAACTTCTTACATTGTCTGTACATTTTAAACTAATTTAACATATGTATTTATAAGAAATTATCTCTCCATTAGAAAATGTTAAATATTGGCAGTTATTTTTTCTTGACTCTTCTCTACAACTGGTAATTTCCTCTATTCATAGGCCAATACAGATAGAGCTTAGGACTATTTCGGTATAGGCAACTCAGGTGGTGTATTTTTTTAATCGAGTAATGTCACAGTCATATTTTGTTTTTTCGTTGTATACTTAAAACCATATCTGTTGTTATTCTCTAATTCATTAGAAAACAAAACAAAATTCTACCCTTCAAACATATGCCCCGTCCCATCAATGTACATGAATGAATTGCTCAAGAGAACACTTTACTGAATTACATGATATCATTCATCAAGCTTAGCACAATATATTCTATTTTTAATGTAACTTATTCCTCACAGTGTCTCTAATAAAAAGCAAATAGTGACATAACAGTTATCAAATAACTTTAAGTGCTAAAGGCCTTAAAGTGCAAACTTGCCAGTCAGTGACTCTGTTGCTTGTGGTTACTCTAATGAAACAGAAGTTTAAAGGTCAAATGATACATTTCTGTCTCCTAAGTGCCAGAATGTCTGTTTTTGAGAAGAAGATCATGACAAAAAAAACTTTCCTTAAGTGGAGTTATAATACCCGAGGGAAACTCATTCTGATATCTACTATGTCTATCATTTTGTAAATCATCTTTTCCGTTTAGCTTAAATACGGGATTTATGATGATATTCCACTTAATAATTTTAATATTTGTATCATTTTATCTTTGTCTTTTAGAGTTAGTGAAGCCATATATATGAAGTATCAAGATGTTCATTACTTTTAATAATGTTACCCAGTGCTAAATTTCTGAATGATTCACTTGAATTATTTGGACCTTCTTGATAAAGTATTTAATGATGCAGATATTCAATATAGTTACGTTTGATATTTCCTTTTTTTAAGCTTTGAATAAAATACATTGTAATTTGCTATAAACACAAGTTGTTCTCATTAACTTATTAAATATAGACTTCAATTGCTACTGCATTTAATATATACAGTATTTTGTTCTTAATCTAACTTGTTAATCTTGGATGGAGACATTAACTTTTTCTCCAGTCTTTAAGTTTCATTTTGTAGTACATGGAAGATCTGAGTTAATGTGTCATGGGGCTGATCTAGCAAAGAAGAGGAAATGCTAGAACTACATTGGTTATGCTTCAGAACCCAGCGTTTTTAGAACTGGAGAATTTAGGAGAATAGAACTCCGCTCTAGAACAATACATAAATTTCAGGAGACTTTAGAAAAATCATTTTGCAGTAACTTTAATATGAATCAGTTGCTTTACTCTTACTTTATTAACAAATACTGTTATATAAACATGTCAAAAATGTTTAATACTCCTTGGAGAAATACTATGAACATCCTCATTTACATTCTCCCAGTGCCTGCACATTTTTAAAACACGTGTCATTTTTAAGCTAATTTTTTTTCAATCTGTTTCTTATTCAGTCCTTCTATATGAAGTTTGTAGTTTTTTAGCTGCCTTTCGGATATCAATTCAAAATATCCTATTATCTGTTTGTCATGCTTTAATTGAAGAAAGGAAGAAAGATTCTTTCCTTAATTGTGATATCTTCTTATACCTTAGCAGAGT